ATTGCAGGAGTTCAGTTTACAGAAGATGGAATCTCCCTTGCTGATGCCTGCAGCTTTGAAACTCGAACACTAGAATAAACTGCTCACTGCTATTACACACAATAAAGGTGGAAGCGTATGGATCTTAGTTTGATTACTTAGTATCTATTGCTTGCAAGGCACTGACTGGAATCAGATGTGCTTATTGATGAATGTGGGCTTAGTGTCTTTGCTGATACCCAGGGAACAGCACAGCTGTACAAACTCTGGGAGCAAGACAGTGAGAACAAAGCATTCATCAAATCTACTCAAGAGTAGATTTTTTTAAAGTTAAAAACTTATTTCCACCTTGTACTAGTATATGCTTTCATCTTATTGGTCTGTCACTACCTTGAAAGTGTTTGTTTGTGATCTATATAATGACACAGCCATGAAGTCATAAATACTTCTAGTCTCAGATCCCTCTACGATGTAAAGAGCTGACTTAAATTTCCTAAATGCATTCACCCACAGAAAAACTAGGGTTGCCCCAATAAAAAAATGTAATTGCTTGGCAGAGCTTTAGGGTTTGTCTGCTATAGTAAAAAGGTATTGACAGCAGGGAAAATTACACACTATTTTCAAGGCATTATAATTCTTTGCTGGTGTCCTGTGACAGATAAGCAAGACCACCCAACTATATTGTTTAGAAGATTTCAAAATGGTAGATGGAATTTGTTTTACCACTACTCTTCAATAAAATAAAAAATTCAATCTGCTTAGTGTGAAAGATTTTTCCAGTCACGTTAATCAGGTGAAGAATTTTGTCTTTTTTCCTCATCAGTTGGGAATATAAACTGGAGAATTAAGAATTTTGGTATTTTCCCTTTTGTACAAAGAAGGAAAATGGCAGCATAGTTGCCAAGAGTAATAGATAAGAATTTAGAATATTCGTTCATTAGTAATAAGTCTGGGGTAAGGTCTGGGGCATACATCAAGGCTTTAGAAGAAGCTCTTGTAACTTGTTGCAGTATTCCATCTAATGATGGCTACCAGCGTGGCCACTATGCTAGTGGTTGAAAGAAGATATATAATTTACTAGTAAGTCTATATGGGGCATTGCGAGCTTGTCTACTAGATTGTTAGTGTCACACCTCTCATATTGACTGTATGCTAGGATTAATCTGAATTTGATATTTTCTGTAGTGTACAGGATTTATTGCAGATTTATTTTAATGCAGCAACTATTAAAGTTGACAGAATTTGTACATGGATATTTTTCTGGTTATTTACTCTCAAGTTTTGATGAATTATAGTAAAAAGGTTAAAAATGAATCACTGCAATGCATTTCTGTATTCCTACTTAGCTAGTGCTGATAAATATGGGAGTGGTTTACTCTCCACAATCTCTGGCACATGCAGAAAGTGGCAGAGGATTTGTAGTTCCAAGTCACCAATGTAAAGCTCTGAATGGGTATTGATACAATTGGAATGGGAAATAGCTATTTCAAATCACTGATTCTGCAATCCAAGTCTCTAATTCATGTTTCCAAGTCACAAACGGCATTACCCTTTAAATGACCTGAAGCTCAGGGTTAACAGCATCTGAACTTGTTGGGGGAGGGGGTTTGAACTATTTTGAACAAATAGTCCAAAACTGCTTTTGTGCAACAAATTTGTCACAGTACAAATCTATGTAAGTCATACTTACATTAGTTGGATTATGATTTAGTAGTAGGGATCATTTACGGTAAGTTTTGAACTGAACGAGATTTTGTGAGATTTGAAGCAGGGTAATGTAATGTCAGACTAGGAAGTGTGTCAGTGAATGAAAGCTGACAGAATTTATCTGTAGATATTTTGTTCTTTTGAATTACAGTCTATTGCACAACAGGATGAATTCACCATATTTTGATTGTCACTTTAGTATTGCTATCATAGAAGACATTCCATGTACAGAGTTTCACCCTCATTGGTAAAGAGTTAACCCAACCTCTTCTGGATTAATTCTTGCACATTTTTTCGTCTCGTATGATGTCATGCAGTGGCAAGAGTATTGTTTTGATCCATTTCACATGATCCCAACTGGCACTCTCCATTCAAATATACCTGAGCTCCATTGCACTAATATTGCTATATTTGTGTATAAACACTCAGAAAATATGTAGTGCTAATTCCAAAGCAAATTAGTGCATTTTTTATGGACTTTTAAAATGTTTTTAACCTGTCCTTTGCATTTAGTATTTATCTTATATTGAAATTTAAGTCTGTCTGTTTGGAAATTGTATTTCTTTCTACAAAGTAAAGGAAGTACACACTTTCAAAAATAGGCCCTTGCTGGGGTAGCGCTAACACTCGCCAATTTAGCCAAATGCTAAAATTGACTTAAATTGGCTAAAGAAAAAGGGCTTGATTTGACATGTTTTAGCCAAATTATAACCATTTTGGTAACAAATTTACAAAAATGTGGTGATTTGGCTAAGCGAAAAAAATTGCTAGCGCTGCCCCAGCCTTGTATTTCTTTCTCTCAGTGGCACACGTGGCAGTTAGCTTGTCTTCATCTTTATTGTACCCTTAGTAGAACATCCTGATCATCATTAGTGGAAACAATGTTGCATGCCTAATCTGTTTATAAGGCCTGTAATAGGGTTCAAATTGGATATTTTGATTATTTTTAATTTGAAAATTTAGTAATTTTCTATGAGAACAATGCAGTGACACTGTTCACACTGGAAGCTTCATGTACAACACAACTATTCAGCCACAAATTTTTTGATGTCATGGCATATATCTTTTAAGTTGCATCACTTCCATATTAAAAATAGTTTGGGGTTGAGAAAAAGAACCTGTATGTAAACAGCACCAGACAGGGTTGAAAGCTAGCCAAATTGTTTTTCGCACTTTGATGTGTCGCTTGCAACACTACTGCTTCCTTCGAAATTGTAGTTTGAATCGTTAATTTGGCATTCACTGTCACAAATCCCTGGCGCAAGATCACAAACAGAAATTATCATTTATGAGACCTGATTACCAAAGCTTTATATCTTAATAACTTTTTGTAGAACATATGTGAAGTTTTTTCTTTTTACGTTGAAATAAGTAGCTGACAAAAATTTAACATAATTCTTGGTTTTTATGCACTGAAATACTGTAGTTGGAAAAACATGTTAGAAATGTCTGTAATATTTACTTATAGAAATTGCAATCTGAAATACAGTTGCTGTGATACAGAACAATTTATTTCAATTAGACGTTCTTCCTATCAAAAAAGAACTTGCATAACTTAAGGTGTTCAATGAGGAATATGAAACTGTACTGGGAACATTTGTAGGAAGAAGTATAAATGATTCTACTCTTGTGCTTAGTCATTTTTCCCTTTACCTTTGATAGTTTCATGGCAGTGGAAACATTTTCACTTTTCCTTCCAAGACTTGGCCTAACCTAAATCTAATTATACCGTAAGGTGTGGTCGGTGCATTAACTTTCTTCTATGGTGCACATTTTCCATAGAAAATGTGTGCAATATGTGAGGGCTTTGACAGGTAAGGGCAACCTCTTTCTTTTACCACTGAATGCTTTATATGCATTCTAAAACCTCAAGGATAATCTGTAATGTGTTATACTGGCATGCTGTAGCAATATATATTCAGGCAACCCTCTTATACTTTTATACATTATATATATATATATATATATATATATATATATATATATATATATATATATATATATATATATATATATATATATAGCTTAATGGTTACCAAAGCTGCGATTATGTGGTTCTGTTGCTGATGGTGACTTGTATTGCCACATACAGATTTTGCTTTCTGTAGGCCCCTACCTCTGGGCACTGAACAGTTTTTTTTTTCAACCCTCTTTACAGAGCTGAGGCAGATATGGTTGAGGTCAGATGGCAATCTTGCATTTGCAAACTATCCAGACATTTAGTCAAGCCAAAAACTTGATGCTGTTCAGAAAATAACATTAAAGCACAACCATTCTCTTCTCAACCACATCCTGTACTTAGCGACTCACAGCAACAAAAGCACTTACAGCTAAATTCAATGAAATGGTGATTCATGCAACATTGGCAGCTACCTTGGCAGAGAATTTGTATCATTAGTATGTTTGGTACATTTGGCATATTGAACTGAGCCAAATCTAAACACCAGTGAAAGGCAACCCCCTTTTGAACCCTCATTTAGTTGATGAATATTTCAACCATCTAGCACTGCGACCAATATAATATTGAGTGAAGCATTCTGGGTAAAGTTGCTATAAACATGCACCAAGCTCAGCTGGGTCAATCTGGATTAGCATATATACAGCAGGCAGAGTGAAGGGACTGAATATAGGGCACCGTATTTGCTCTAGCTTCCTTCACAAGTTGCTTGTATCTCAAATCTAGTTTAAACAGATGGGAAAGCTGCGTGCTGCTGTTGTGCTCATGAGAAAAAGGCTTTAAAAGCAGAGACAGCAGGGGCTTCAAGTTCGGTTGAAGAACATTGTCAATTTATTAAGCCTTGTGAGTGAATCAATGAAGATTTTTAAGGTAGGTAGGCTGTTTGTTGAGGCTTACATGATTTTTGCCATTATATTCATAGCTAAATTTTGAAGATGGTAATTAAACCAGAATAAATGCATGATATTCAGTATGAATATGTACTCTAAATATACATTGCGTTTCATTATGAATGTACGGCATCAGTTGTGTGACAATGCTTTCCTGGAATAAAAACAAGGCCAGTCAAGAGGGGCTTTTTCATGTTTTATTGCCAAAAAATTTGGAGTAAATGTTTAATCACCTATTTATCCCCGCTTAATATTTGTCCTGTATTTTCATTTATTTTAATTGAAAAAAATATTCTCAGATATCTTAATGTTGCTGTATATTAATGTATTATTTTATTTTTTAGCAATTTTACTGCTATTAAGCTATATATATATATATATATATATATATATATATATATATATATATATATAAAGATATCCTTTGGTTCCCTTTTTTGTTTCTTTTTACCAATGAATGTTTTTATCACCTTAAGGCTCAACTGAACCATTCTTATTACTTCCAACTCAAAGATTGTCGGGTCACATATTATAAGGTCACTTTGTGATGAAAATGAGTCCTCAAAGGGGGATACTCACCTCTCTCTCCTGCTCCATCCCTATCACTCCAAACAAAAAACATTCATCTCCTAAGCTGAATAATTAACACTTTGTTTTGTGTAAGCATTTCTCAATATTCTCTTACACATAGTAATCAGCACAACAGAATATTTAAAAAGTGTTTCATAATACTCAAGCTTTGCACTGAAGTATTTGTCCCTTGAATGCAAACTGCTGGGGTGAACTAAGGTAGCAATTCTTTCTAAAGCTGATGTTTGGATAATCATATGAAGCATAGGGTTCCAAGTCTTGCCTATATTTGCACCTGCAACGTTGAATTCACATATTGCCTCAATGGCACTCTCATGTTCAAGCGATTGGCCCTTCATCTCAGTTGGGTTGTGCCCTTGGGCTGCCTTCAACTTTAAGAACTTACAGAAGGAAAGTATTGTAGATCAATTTCCAACTGCTGATTCTTTTTTTTCAATGAAAAGTAATTTAATCTAATATTTTTATGTAGATCTTGTATTTTATTTGCTTGTTTAGTTAGCAGCTCATGCATCAAATATTTGATAATTGTAAAACCCTCGATCTCTTGGTAAATCTTAGTTATATATGACCTAATAATATGGCATTTATTGCCTCCTTTCATGTGTTCATACTTCCAAGCGTCAAACATTGAACTTCCCTCAGACAGGTGTATTTCTTCTACGGCTTAGCTGTATTTTGCACACTTATTACAAAGATTACCCACTGTGGTTTTGGGTTTGAATAAGTTTTGTCAATATTCTAACCATACTAAGTTATGGTGCATTTGTATAAAGAAAAAAATTAATGGTTAGACTAAAAAGCATTTAGTGTATGTGGAATGTGAATTATCATCAGTTATTGGTACATTTTGGAAGAGTAACATTCTGTTCACTGATGTTTGATGGTACACTCCCTCAATTGATTAACTCATTATTGACTGACCAATATCTGGCGCAGGGCAAAGTCTTGCTTTGTGTGCGCTGTCTGATTTCAGCTGATTTAAGTTTCCTTCAACCGTCCTTGCTCGTTTTACTTGAAAAATCTGCTATGGATAAAGAAAGTCAGCTGGGTATACATTAAACTTTCAACCTGGTTCCTTGTTCAATCCATCTGCCAATAGAGCAACATAGCTGCAGCAGTATACACATGCATCAAGTGCAGATGCCTATTCCATTATTCATAAGTTCCTGTGTGTTAGCAGTATGGGTGCGTTGCACTGGACAAAGGAGATCTAGCACTGAATAAAATGTGGGTGGACTCTGCCTTGTTTTTATAGTAAACTTCCACAGCAGAATGATCGGCTAGATGAAATAAGATTTGAAATGTTTTTCTAACGAACCAACTGACATGAGTTGAAGCAGGCACAATATCTTCCTACGTTCTTGGTATAAATCTTGTGTTCTGCAAGCTGGGAGGAACTTGCTCTCAGTTTTGTTTGATCAATATGTTGCCATTGAAAATCCCTTCTCTTGCCACTTATGTATGTCTGTTCTTTGAATGCCGAATTTAGTGCTGATAATTTGTGTTGGGTGATGATTGAAGACTTTTGGTACAAAAATGGGTTGAATATGGAAATGCAAACGTAGCCCAAAATATTCATTTTTGCACTTTTTTAGAAAAAACCATTGGGCATCTGTTTTGGTAGAAAAAAAACATACAGTTGGCCTACCGCTACCGAAAAACTTGTTTTTATGCTTTAAATCACTCATTCCCTAAAGAAATGAAAATAAAAAATACAGATTGTCCCTAACTTGTAGTTGGTATGATAAACATCATTTGTTTAAGAAACAACATTTTGTGTTACAACCCTGATAGTCACTGCTTGTTAACCTAGGATGATAGAATAGTCATCTATGTGGATGTTATTTTTAAAGTTACATGTCAATCCGGTATAAATGTGAAGCCTTTGAGTCTTTTCCCTGTGTTAAATGGAAACTTACTCTATATAACCTTTTGGACTGTATTTATGTTAATATTATTTATTATTATTTATTTGTAGTGCCATGCAAGTTTTGTTACTAAGTTGAAACCATTTCTTCTTTTGAATTGATCATTAAAAAAAAAAATTCATGTGAAGTGTTTGATTCGTGTTGCTGACTAGAAAAGACAAATATGGTTTGTTTGTGATGAGGCTATATGTATAAATATTTGTATGGCATGTTGATTTCCATTATAAAGTTGTGTTATAGAATGAAGATACCTTAAGGTAACATGTGGGGCAAGCGCCATTGAAGCTTGATTATCAGCTGTAGAATCACGGCCTCGAAATGCCCCGATCCCCTATCTTATCACTATCTGCTTCCTCACCAGTTCTTTGTGTGGGTAGCCATAGCTGTCAGGTGGGCTCAGGCAGTGGGCAGATGATGGTATAGGCATTGATAATGTACCTAAGCTATCACACTGATATGGCATGTGTTCTATTCAAGAAAGGCATGCCTCTGTGACAGTGAGATTGAAGACTGCTGGAGGAGATGAGCTTCAGTGTCTTCCTGCCCTGTTTTCTGGATAACTAACTCTAGACCCTTAACACTTGAATTACTGGTGTTACTCTGGCTTAAAGAGAAATAAACCATTTTTTGCCAACGGGAAGACTGCTTTCTATAATGCTTCTAAGTTTTTACATGTTGCTGAGTCTTGTTACTGTACCACAACACAAGATGTCACAAGACAGTGTGTGTAGTGACTAGTAAACTTGTGGCTATGAATACCAATAGACTACCAACTTTCACCATACACGCACACAGATTGGAATAAAGAAGCTTCATATACCTTATGTAGCACATATGCCTTGAAAGATGTATAATTCATACCATAAAAAGACAAGCATTCAAGTCAGATTATGTTCTCAGTTTGACTGATATTTGAAAGATAACTAAATGCCCTTTATTCAGTAAAATTGTTTGCTGTATTTCTTTTCTTGTGGTCATCTGTATTTTCTACATTCACTTATCTTTTACACTCAGTCATAGCCTGTTTTGTTCATGCACAAGAACTCAAGAGAATGCTTATCTTTGTGCATACTTGATATATCACAAAGGTTCTGGAAGGTAGATTGAAATGGGCCCAAATGAAATTATTACCTGCCCCCAGGTTGATAGTGGTAGCAATTTTCTCCAAGTGTGATTCATCATGCTTCTATAGCCTCTCTTTGCCACAATGAGTTGCATCGAGGAGAATGCACCTAGTTGACCAAGAGTTAAGATGGATAGGTAGTATTCCTAAGCTGCATGTGTCTGTCATATTCAATCCTGCCTGCATTTCCTTGGTGCTGCATCACAGCTAACATGGATTTATACCACTGCCCAGGTTGAATGTTTTTCATTATTATTATTATTATTATTATTATTATTATTTTTATTATTATTATTATTATTCTGTGTTGTGTTTTTTATAAAGAACAAATTGTCTGTATTTTGGTGTGGCTGATGATGATTTGCATTGACTTTACATGCAGTTATTTATATTTTTGAAAGGGAATTCATGTGGTGATTTTTTAAAAAACCAAGTTGTGTTTCATTATGCAGTTTTAATAGATTTGATAAATGCGAGGTTATTGGTTTTTGCATAGGGGCACATGTTAGGTAGTTTCACCATTTTTCAGAGATGAGATTTTTCTGGCTATCTGCAAATTTCCATCTTTTTGAGAGCCAAAAATATCATTGGTCAAGGAACCCCCTTGACCCCATATTTTATGACTTTTTCACTAAATAGCAGTCTCATCTCTGATTCTTTTTAAAGGTTAAGCCTCTAGTATTAGAATATTATGATTTTTTAACGACCTGTGTATTTTTGATTGTATTTGAAAGGTAATATTAGAATAAATGTGACATTACTTTTCTTTTTTAAATTTTATATTTTTTAAATTTTAGATTTCCATAGTAACCTGAATCACCAGATGCAACATTCACCACAGTTCATATCCAGCATAATCAGTGAAGACACAGATAGTAAGGTAGGCACCAGTTACATATCACCTTTTTTAGCATATTGGAGGCTCCAGTGTGTTGAAGCCGTCTTCCAGAGTAGAGTATAGTATATACAGTACAAATATTGAAATACAGTTTCTGTAAAATAATGAGAGTTGGTTAAAATTGCTGTTTATTACTGGTTGATATTGTAATATTTGAATCTTGGCTCCTTCTAGTATAGATTTCGTTATGGTCAAGTAACTTGATTTTTTTACCAAATCAAATATTTAGGGTCAGAATTAACATTGGTAATTTGTCAAAAGTTTTATTAATATTTCTAATTTTCTATAGCTAAAGAAAATTTTTGATCTATGCTGGAGTGTGCCAAGAGTCCCATGATCATGTGTAGTTAGCAGTTGCCTTTGTCATGTATAGTTGCCTTATATTGCTATGGTGGTTGGTTGAATTTTCACAACTTAAGCATATAACTTTTTTAACAAAAAAAAAAAAAAATGAATAGAATAAAATGAAATGAAGTGAAGATTAATGTCTGTTGCAAAATGTTTCAAAAAAAGGGTTGGATTTAAAAGCAGTATTTTTATCTTTGTTGTACATCATTTTACTAACAACCAAGATTATGAATATTCTGAATTGAAAATCCCAATTTGGAGATTTTTAAATATAATAATGTAATAATAGTAATTTCTGATAGACCTTAGTCTTGAAATATTTTAACTTAAAGAAAAAATATTGATACCTTTGGGGACTTGAAGTAAAGATTAAAATGGTACTATAATAGGTACAGCATCAGTGTTTTGTCCACATTCTGTCACATGGCCCACAATCATCTTTACCCAATCTAGTCTCCATCCCTCACCCTCGTAATCCCACTGATTGAGTAACTTTGGCACCGCTGTGCTCCTCTCCCCACTGAGCAAGTCTTCATGACAATATAGAGTGGAGAGCAATCATGTGGAAGCTAATGACAGTGGCAGGGTAATTGTGTCATTGCAAGATCACTTGCTGGCAAATTGTGGCAGTGGTATTCAGTGTATACCCAGGGAACAATGGCGGATGCTTGCCTCAATGGGAGAGAAATGGCAGTCTGCACTCTGGCAGGATCGCAATCGATCAATTTAGGGATTTATGGCAGAAGCTAAGATTTTTGTGATTTAATGAAGAGAACCTGTCTTTTCATTTTGCTTGTAGCAAGTTTTCTGCTTAAATTTCTGTCATGGGCTTTTTGCAGTTATTTCTCCCTATTTTTCTCCAAATATGTATTCCGGATGGCAATTGATGTAGGAATTATAAATGTGCACATAGCATTAGTGCAGAAATGTGGCATGTCACAAAAATGAAGAATAAAGGCAAAAGGAAAATACTGGGTAGTGAGCTTCTCCTCTGGTTTGATGTGAAGCAACAAGTCTCAGTATTTGTAATTTGAGTAGTATTTTTTTTTTTTTTTTTTTTTTTTTTGGCAAATGCTGAAAATGATTTCCTTATTTACTGAAAAAGCGAGAAAATTTGAACAATTTTTCCCGATTTATAATTGATTTGGTAAAGTATTCTTATTTCTACCAAAACATTAAGAAAGGCAAAATGACCCTGCCATAAAAGAATTTAATATATATAAAAATGCTTTAAAAGCAAAGTAAATGGTCAACTGTTGAATGGTAGGTGACATAAATCTTATAAAAATTATGAAAAATTAGGTACTAGTATTTACTTTACCTCTTAAATGTTTTCACAAAAAGGATTTTCACTAATGGAGGGAATGTAAGGTAAATGCAATACTTAAACTATAGAATATATGCTTTGAATAAGGGCAAAATTTTTGGGTTCATTGCAGGTCATCTGCCCTTATTTACTTAAAGGGTTTCTCGCAAAAGGCAAAGAAAAACCTCTGCTTTCACTGCCCTTAAACTGGATGTTACCTGAAGCATATTGATCTGTGAAGGTTTTCTTAGCAGGACAGCGTAACGCTGCATGCATATCCATGTTTGGGTTTTATTCTAAGGTTTTTGTTTTTCCCTTGTAAGGGTGTAATATGGAAGTTATATATTGCTTTAGGGCCTTGTGGATGATTGCTAGGCCCCCATAATCATGTATGGTTAATACTGTATCTGTGGTGCCTGTCCGGGGAGTGTAGTGTGTGGGAAATCATTGATGTCACTGGCCCTGAATTCATCTACACAGAAACCCATTCATTTTCCACTAGAGTAGCGCTGAGGAAAATAGGAAATCTATTCTACAGTATTCTTCCCATCTAAAGCAGCGTGCGCTTATTCATAGTGGTTGCATGCATGTGAGAGCCCGCTGTAAAAGCTTGCCCCACAATAGCTATGCAGTGGAACAATAGCATGCAGACTTTCTGTCTCCACTGTTGTATTTACTACAACTGGAGCTTTTAGGGATTTAGTGTTAGCTTGGTTGGGTAAAGCAATGGGATTTTTACAGATTCTTCTCTTGGTGGCCCAACTCACTCTTGTTGTCACTAGGTTACATAGATTTTTCTGATAAATTTTAAATTTTGTTTTATGGGTCTTGGTAGTGCAAACTGTGCAATAAGTCTTAAGATATTGAGAAAAAATATTAATAAATTCTTGCAGATTTGGAAAGAAAAAACATTGCTTGGAAAAACATTTTGAAAAGATATTTAATTCAAGATAGAGCACGTAAGGTTTTGAGTTAGGGTTTGTTCATCAAGTAATACACAGTTAATTATGTGGATTCAGAGCACACAATTTAGTAGAATATGACTGCCACCTAGTTATATTTTTAAAAAGACAAAATGTTGCAGTGGAAAATTGGTTCAATTTTATCTCCCACTATTATACAAGCCACATCAGGTCTGAGGTTGATTTGGCCACTAAAGAGCAGGAAATAAAAGTTAAACAAAAAGGAGCCATCACAGCCATCATAGCCATCACATGTTGATCAGGCCTATTAGAACAGTGCCAGAGATATCTTGAAATAATTACAGACTGAGTCAACTATCTTCATCTTTGAAAAGGAAGATAGCCATATGAGACATTTTTAAGTGTTTTGGAGACGACTTTTGAAAAAATATTCCTTTTGGGGATGGGAATTGTTTCTTTGTTTGAAGAATCATACATCTTTAATTTAGAAATTTCAACCTTTATGTGTCATGAAATTAGTCTCCAGAAAAAAGAAGAACAACTGAAAACTTTTTTAATGGAAACTTTACCTCTCCCATGAACATCCTGTTTCTACCTTCACTTTTAATATTGTTAGCAATCTTCATCAATATATTTGCCATCCATTAAGGTGTGTCAGGGTCAGTCGGTGATACTGTGGCTGTATAAAACTGGGATATTCAAGATAGAGGCTATTAACGTATAAATCCTAGTTAGGTATTGAAATATTTTGCCATCCTGAATGAAATTAATCCAGTAATGACATACGGGATAGTGGTAGAGAAATTGCTGTGTTATTGATAACCTAAGCATAAAGGATTCATAATATGCTTTTGTCCATCTTCATGTTCCTCGTCATAAATTACTTATTTGAAGGAAATGATTAGTGGTTGACTCTATGTTGAAATATTAATGATCATGAAAGATAAACTGCTTTATATGAGGGAACAGGTTAACAAAATTAGATGGGCAGTAAAATATAAGTCTAGAGAATCTATTCGGCATATGTTGAAATTTTATTGATGCATGATTTGAACATGGATGTAATTGCTACTAGAATTATTGTCGAACTAAATGTTGGTCATCTTGTTTGTGTAAAAGGGACAGAAATCTTGCATGCATGCTATGCCATACATTTATCATGAATAATGTATACGTATTATGAATCATAACCATTGCTGTAGCCGTTTCCTTGGGCATATACTAGTAATGCTTAATATGAGGACAACAGAAAAACCGGCATTACTGAATGAGTAAATTAATGTGATGTACTATGATGCTGTATAGTTGGAGGGTCTGTTGTCTTAAGTTGGTTGCTCTGTCCAAAAAGATTTGAGCATATACTTTCTTCCACTAGTGTACACATACATTGACCAGTCAAGCCATTGTGAATGCCCATAAAGGTCGGATCAATCCATTTTCCTGAAAGGCTAGTTGGTCACTCCCTCAGTTTACAGTCCAGCCACAATTTTAGATCAGATTCTCGTATGCAAATTCTCCTGCCTCTGACTAAATCCTCTTCCTTGTATGCACACAGGCCTGCCAAAAGAGTTCTTTATAATAGCGGCACACACAATTGCCATCAGATATTGACTTAATTACCAGTCCCATTTTTCACATGATTGGTTCTGTGGTGCTTGGAGCATGTTATGGCGTCTGCCGGGGAGCAGTGGGTGGCCCGGCTGGCCCAGTCGCTATTGAAATCTCATGACTGAGCTCAGTGTAAGCTGTGCCAGCCATTGGGAAGGTTTTCTTTTCTATCTAGCACTGCAGTTTTCCTGATCACAGCTGGGATTTTGATTAACATTTTACATCTGCAGTTCCATCAGCATGTTTTCCTTGCTGTTGCGGTCTCTGAGCTTGAAATATCAGTCAGGGTGTGAAAGTAATGGGGATACTCAGAGACCATCTGACATTAGGGAAAGAAGAGACTGTGATCTAGAGGTAGGAGCTCTTAATCTGAATTACCAGGGTACACAGCTATAATCTGTTCATAATTTACACTGGCATTCTGCCTCCTCTTTTAGTAGGAGGACCTTCAAGTAATACGTGATATCAAACCACACCTGGGAGGGAAAAGGGGTTAATGAGTATATGCTGACTTACAGGTAAGAAGGCTAGACTTAAATTATCAGTGGACATGACATTAAGTATCCAGTCTGGATAGCTTGGTCTTTGCTTTTCTAGACTTGTGCATTTCCGATGCAGCGACCCATGTTGATATTTAGAAGGGAACCTTGTAACTTGTCTGGTTATTGTTTTCTCCTTTAAAAATGGCTAGTAGAGTCAACTGTTGGTCTTATATGTAGTCAGTTAAGTCCAGTCAAATCAATACAGTTTATGGATTCCTGCTGGCTGATTTTGAAGACTGGAAAGAATAGTAGGTTACTAGGGCATGCTAAAGGTATATTAACTGTGATGTTTGTCTGGTCCTCCCTTAAATGGAGATTGCAGCTAGATAATTTTTTATGTCAGGAGAAAACCTGAATAGTTTGCTAGATGGTTGGCATTGTGGTATTCTTAACATTTTGATGGGTATATACATATATCGGAGTAAAATTGAAAAAAAAAAACTAATTCAATATTTTTGTGATCATGGATATTTTTGCCTTTTTACAAGTATATTTCTATGTGGATGGGTGTGGAAACCAACATTGCACAGATGCTGAAGATGGTATATCTGCCTGTAATAATTAAGAAAGTGATAAGTTGTCTTTTTTTCTCATTTAAGAATCTGCAGTGCTCAGTTATCATTGCTAGCAGCATTCAATTGACTTACTTGCAAAACTTTGCAGATAGGATATGTGCCATATTGATTTTTTCCTTAGGCAAGCTATCATGTGCCAGTGTATAGTCTCTTTTATATCACAGAGAAATAGAATGCATCAAAAAATTTTAAGGTCCCTCAATCTTTGAAAAATTTTACAGATGCATTGCTATTGCCTTTTGGATTGCTCCAACTCACTGAATGCAATCAGTTTAACTGAATGACTAGCCTCCCTTTGTTTCCAGTGTACTCATATCATCACCAGTTTTCCTGTATTCTACTCAAGGCCAGGAGGAGGCTTGTTGTTTAATTAAGCTGGTTGTACTCAGCGAGAGTCCCTGCATAGTTAGAGTGATCTACATAGACTGATGGTGTCTTTGGAAATAGGGCTTTAGAGCGCATTCTCAACGAATTAATCCAGGCTTTACAAAGCCGGTGACCTAAAAAATGGCGGACGTACATGAAAAGAAAAANCTCCGCCTCTCACACGCCTCCCCACATGTCGTCCCTGCGGGGTACAGTAATTAAATCTCGGCTCCGAACATTAATATTTCCGTGAATATCTCTGGTGATATTATCTCCGTAGATAGTCGATTCATTGCTGCTCTACGGGCCAAATTATTCCTTTTTCGTCTCTGTTTTCAAAGATAATAGAACAGAAGAGCTTTTTGCCTTCGATCGCCTTCAGCCGCCATGCTTTCTTCACCACAAGTTCAACTGATGAGCATGCACACTTAATATTTCTCAGGTAGCTTCCGCATGGCGAACGGAGCCGAGATTTAATTACTGTACCCCGCAGGGACGACGTGTGGGGAGGCGGAGAGACTATTAAAAGATTAGGCGGTTTTTCTTTCATGTACGTCCGCCATTTTTAGGTCACCGGCTTTGTAAAGCCTGGCTTAATTCGTTGAGAATGCGCTCTTAGTCAGTAAAGGAGAAAGGAAGTTTACAGTTTGTTTTAGAAAGCTCAAAAATTTGTAGAACTAGTACTAAACATGTATGAAAATCTGTTCTTTCTCTGGCCAGTAGTAATACTGGTTCCACTGGTTTATATTAAAAAGGCGAGTTTCATGCTGATTTTGCTTGATGGAGGATGTAAAATGTTTTCTGAAATGGCAACTGAACCTCCCATTTCCTGCCTATATGTTAATATGGATGCTTAAACACACACTTGCATATGTAGAACATTATAAAGGTAAATAGCAACTGCATTTTAATTTGTACTGAAACTTGCACTAGGGTTTGTATGTTCAGTATTTGGCCATTTACAGTTCAGTCAGAGCAGTGTCAAAGTTAGTGGATGGTTTTTGGCAAAACTTATTTCAGATGGTGCACAAAATGATTTTATTAATTAGGTTGTTAATTCACAAGCACTTTATCCTGTCACACAAGGTATTTCTCTCCAATCGGAAAAAGGTGCTGATTGGGGTCAACTTGTGATGTGTGACAATAGTCTATATACACAAGAAAAATATCCCAAAAGAAAGTGTGAGACATTAACTGCATTATTTACTATAATGATGGGACATTTTTCTCAACAAAGTAGTTTAGGGGGGATGCTTTTGATCAGGAGACTGACTTGACAGGATTTTGTTAATGATTTCATTCATGACAAAGTTTTTCATGGTGCCCTTTTTTGTTACAATGATACTGGACTTTTTCATTTTCTCATTCCAGTCTGAAAGTCCAGCTAGAAAGAGAAGGAAAACATCTGCTGGTGTCATTGATCTAACTAGTTCACCAAGTCCTCCTTCAGTGAGGCCATGGGAATCTGTTAGTGACTCGACAACACAACGTCCACGTAGGAAGTCCACAATGCAGCGCCGTGTCTCAGTGGAAAGATGCAATACACCAAGGGGAAGACGAAGGTAAGATTTTTTCTCCATAATATAAATATGTTATGACTCCATCATGACGAAGTTTAAGGACTTCAGAATTAACAATATTGTCACGTTACCTGGGTGCATGCCAAGAGGAAGCATAACAGAAAGTTTTGCCCTATAAAATTTACTGTGCACAATCATTTCCTTCATAATGATAACCAAATATGAAATGGTGTGAATTACCAATTTGTATTTGAACCCCAATGTTACAGTTGCTGTGCAATGAAATAGCTGTGAAAAAATGTTATTGCTAGAGGTTCTGACCTCAGCTTTAACCATTACTTACATAAACAAAAATTTGTTTTATAGATATTTTAATTATGGTATTTACTCGATCTTTTCAATAGGAGAAATTTGATGAATTTTATACTGTATTTTTTAAAGTCATAATATATTAAATTAGAACATTGCTATTAAGTGAGAGCAACAAAATTAAAAAGCAGGCTACTTAATAGTTCTGTTCTATGCAGAAAAAGAACTGCAAATGCTGTACAGAAATATAATTTTATAGATTATAAAATTATGTATCTGACAGTTTGATCATTCTCACCCATTGAAAAGATCGGAGTAATAACCATACATAGCATTAGCACATAATAAAGTTTGCACAACCACTGTAAGTGATCAAAATGTTGAATCATTGCAAGACATCAAGTTGAGCAAATGGCTGTTATGGCATAATAGCCTACACACAACTTCATCATTGTTGTCTTGCTGTTTGTTTGTACAATAATAATGATACATCCATGTTTCTACCTAATATATGTCTCTCCAAAAATTACTTGTTAACCTGCTAACTTGTTAACTCACATTACGGTATGTAGGGAATGTAAAAAGTTCAGTCTCAGTGAATGCTGCTAGATGTTGACTCCTAGAGTGCATTCCCATAGCTTTAGATCGATCCATCTAGATCAACCTAACTCCCTGGGGTTCACGCTTAATTGATGTCAGCCGAGCGTGCACTGTAGTTAATTACCCCCTTACAGCGTTTAGTAGGCGGGACAGACGCTTAAGCCGGCCAAGGTGACAGTAATCTAGTGAGACTGCCCACAGGGATAGATTGATCTAATCTCTGTGGGAATGGGGTCCTAGTTTTTTGGGGTGGCAGCTCTGTGATGAGATACACAACACTAGCAATGTGAGTTGATTATGTGCATGCTATGAAGAGGGGCTTTTTAACTCCAGACAAGAAAAAGGCATAATGGTTCCTCTAAATAATTTATGAAATTGCTTTTTTGAGGAAAAGGGCTGTATGCCTGGATGACTTGTGTTTTCCCATGTTTTAACTACATAAGACTTTTTATCATTTATGTGCGCAGATTGATATAATTCACCATATTAACCTGTTTGGACTTTGTAATATGAACATAATTTGACAAAGCTAGGGAACTTTTGATAGGTTGCTTGTACTTTAGACTTCTGTTTATGTGACAAATCTGTGAGCACTATCTTTTGCACACTGGCAAGCATCAAACTGAATTAAATAAGTATGAATTTCCCAATTGTGAAATTACCAGTATCAATAAGTGCATTTGAAATGTCCTCTAAAAGTTGTAATAGCTTAATATAGTAAATAGGCTATGTAGTTAAGAAAAGCTCACCTCGGGGAGCGATTTGACACTGGGCATGGCACACAGTTCGGCTCAAAACCTTTCCCAGAAAATTATATTTGCTGTCTATGGTGAACAAATACAAAATTATAAGAATGTCGAAAATGGTAGTCTGAGTTTAACCATCATAAATGTATTGGAAATGGACCTAAATATTACGCTTAGGCGCCTAAGTAAGGGATTATGCTGCCCAAAACTTGTTCATCCAAGTGTAAATTGAGGTCCTGAATTCGCCATTATTAGAGTGTGAGGAGGGCTCAGGTTTACTACATGCAGCTATAGCATTTTCTTTCCCAAAATGTTGGTGTGTTCTTCAAAAAAAGGCATCAGTATTCAACCAACAGAACAGAATATGGGAACGATTTAATAATTGTCCATTACGTGTTGGAAAAGAACTCACCTGTGTGACCTTGAATTGTGAGTAGTCCTTTTGTTTGGAGAGCCATATTTTATTTTAACACATTTCTTTTCTTCCTGTTTTTGCCAATGTTTCACCTTGAGGTTTCACATGCCAAAGAGTAATTATACAGAAAAGATAGGCAGGTTTTGTTTTAAGAAAATAATAAAGGTGATTGAAGGTTGATATTCATGTTAAGTATATTAGCTTTAAAACCTTGGAGCAGAGTTGGTACTACTGACAAGACTAAGAGAATGGGACATGCATTGGTTCATTTCAACAAAAATTCAAACAGTGCTGATTGACCAAAAAAAAAATCAAAATGTGCAAATGTTTGCAGCATTAATATTCCCTTTATCCTTATTCTTCCATTCTATCTTCTACATCAGCACCAGTTCTCAAAGTACTGAGCATGACCATAAGATAACCGAACAGAAACATCTAGATAACAAAAGAGATTATTCCTAACTACAGAAGACAGCCATAAGTTGAATATATCTCTCTTTGAACCTGATGAGAAGGACTGAGAACAGTAAATTCTCCTTCATATAGTCATGCTATATAACAATACTCTATTGTCTTTGTGAACAGCTGTAAAAACTGTGCTACTGGAATTGCCTGATAGCATGCAAGGCTCTGGCTAATGGGAAGAGGGAAGTATCTCTCTATAACAAGGAGTGTGAGGATGTTCACAATCTGTACAAAAGGGATGTAAGATCAACAATTTGGAGCATTGCAGAAGTCGTTTTTTCTTAAGACACCACAAAAATCATTGACTACATTGTTAATTATTGTACTTTGACATCTTTTATGCTAAATTACAATGCACTTGCATGTCTGCAAAGACAATCTACTCTTTGATTGTTGTACAGAAAACTTCTTCATTGTTCTTTGAATCCAACAAAAGGAATTGCATTTGAAAATCTAAACTGCTGCAAGTCACATTGTTGAGACAATGGTCACTAAATTATTGATTGTCAGCCAGTAGTTTTGCTTGCAACAATGCACAATTTTGTGTTTCTATGGCAACAGTGATAGATTGATGCTGTTGCCTTGGGGCATAGGAGACCTGTCCAATCAGAAGTCAATGATGAGTGTATTGGAGGGAAAATACGAAAATAAAGGCAATTGTTCATAATTGAAATAATTGGTGATAGGTGATGAGCAGATGTACAAGGAGCACCAGTCACTTGAAGCAGAAATAATTCTGAATTTCATCAGGGCTAGAAACAATGAATTATACAATGCAGGATGAGGCACCATTGTGGATGCTTCCATACCACCCTATGGAGCCTTATCTTGATTGCAATAATTCAGGGGTTGGTCATCATAGACCAGACCCTCTGAATATCATGGCTGTCCAGCAGCAGTTTGTTACACCAGTGGAGCGACAAATCATTTATGCACCTCCTCTGGAATTCTTTAATATGCAGACACAATCAACGCAACAGCAGCATATTTTCCATAGAAACCCTATTTTTGCTGGTATATCCAGCTATGAACAGAATCATTATTATGGAGATGAGCAACAATTGTATCAAATTTCCAGAGGGGACAATAATGGCCTGGCAGTAGAAACTTTCCTGTTTGCAGAAGGAAGCCATGAAAATAACAGAAACACAGACAATGGTGATGTTGACAGGAAGTTTTTGTCACAACAGCAGACTTCAGCCCACACTAATGAATCCTGGCTGTCATTGGGTTGTGAGTTGAGTGGACCTCAAGACACAAGCCGTCTTTCCCGGCATCCTGCTGTGTTGAGAATAGAAGAGCCTGGATTGATTCAACAGCAGTATCATTATAACAGACTATCAGAGCATCACAGCCCACAACACTCAGAACATTTCTATAATAACAGGCAGCAACATGACAGAAGGCTTTTCGAGCAGCTCACATGTCCTCACCGAGAGTTGAGTGTACCACAGACAGCAGCTCATCAGCAAATGTATAGACAACTGAGGTGTCCAAATTTTTCATTTAGTTTGCAGGAATCAGCACTAAGGCAACAAGAAAGTTTGCAGGAGTTTGCACCATATTTTAGTGCACAGTCAACTGCCATGAATCACTATTCACAATCGAACCAACAACAAAATACAGAGGCTAACAGTCCTAACAGACAAGAACCAGTGTCTTGGCATGAAGCGTATGGTAATGTAAGAAACACAATGCAGGAATTGCTTCGTAGTACATGGAGAAGGGATGCAGAGGAGGAGGCAGACAACTTTAGAACAGCCATCCGCCAGACAGGAATCAACACAACTATGCTGGGTGCAACTAGCAGGGCAGCCCAGGTTGCAGAATCCACAATGAGGGCTGTAAGAGAATGTTTTGCTAACATAAAAGAATGGGCTGACAGTGGCATGCAAAACCAACACATATTGAATACTCAAAACATTAACTTTGTTTCTTTAGTAGAGCAAGAAGATCTCATTTCCAACTACTTCAACAGACTGCATGCTCAATTCTACACGGAGACAGTAAACTGGATGGTCCTGTACCTTTGCCACCATCCACAGGCAAATGTGGCACGGCGAGATATTGAAATCATAGCTGTGTACAGAAAATCAACCATGATGGACACATTTCTCTCTGCAATGTCGTCCTATATTGAAGATGTTCTTCTGAAAAGTCATGAAACCCTAACGGAAGCTGTGCTCTTGACTCAGCTGATAGCAGCTCGTAGTGGAGTAGATCCCTTAATTGCATTGCGACTGCAAGAAGTGGCCACAGACCTGGGGATTGCCCTACAGCCGCGGAACATGCTGAGAGACTTAACTACTCTTCTCCATGAGCTTGCGACACGATTACAAAATCGTTACAGCAGTGCCAGCAGGGGAGCTGGGTAGGGATTGGGGTATTTAGAGTAAATAGTGTGGGAAGAGAATAAAAGGGAGGGTCACATTCCCATACCTTAGCTGAAGGGGATTAGCTGCATGATAAGGACACAAATTTAGCTGTCTACCAATGGTAAAATTGTGAGGATATGATTATGGAAATTATTGTGCACAGTAAGAGGTTTGCATATGATATGACTGTGGGTAACGATGCTTCTTCATACTAGCATGGGGTGATTTATGCGAAAAAAACCCAATGGTTATATTTTTAAAGCATCTTTTGGTCTTATTTCAGTAAACCTTTTTATCTTACATATAAATTCACCTTGGCTGGATGTTTTATCTTTAACAGTCCTGGAGCAAGCCGGAGAAGAACACGTGAAAGGAACACTCCACAGGAACCGTCACCAGAGCGACGTGCATTCCAGCCTCCAAACCCAATTCTCCGACCTAGTCATTCTACAGTCCTCCCCCACCACCACCAGCAGCAGACAGTTATGGTGGATGTGGATCAAGCCGGTCGCCATGTGGGCTGGAGAGATAATGTAAATAGGACTTCAGCATTTCTGACTTGATAGAAATATCTTGTATACTTTACTAAGCATAGGCATGCAAAAATGAAATTCTATAAGCTTTACAATTGAATCGAGTCATTTAGATTTTTTTCTTCTGATAAGTTTAAATGTTTTGATAGTACTGTTAATGGTCAAAAATGTTAAATGTATAATTTTATTTCTGTTATTCCAGGCGCCAGTCTCAAACCCAGTAACAGTGGCTCCTTATGCTATCCCTGTGTGCACGGGTCCCCATCACTTGCCAGTTTGTACCACAACTCATATCCCTGTGTGTACTACAGCTCAACCCACCTGGTCCCTGCCAGCATGTACAGTGTTTCCAACCTGTAGCATTCAGCACATTCCAGCTTGCAGCTTACAGCAGATTCCAGTCACACATGGAGCCATCACCCCCATGCTTCATGCAGCCCACCCTCCCCAGTACCACATGACACATCACCCACATCCCCAGCCTCATCACCACCCCCATCACCCCCATCATAACCCTCATCCTCATCTACAGGCACCGCAGCATATGCCAGCAGCCACTCAGTTTCTGCCAACAACACCATCGCCGCCTACAATCAACAGAGTAAGTACTGATTAACTTTAACTTAGTAAGTAACGATTTGGAGGCTGCTGTATGTGGTCTGTGACGAGAATCAGATGCCAGTTTTTAAGACGTACATCAATAGATACATGGCATAGTTTTGATAATGGTCACCATCTTTATCTTTCAAGCTTCCCTTCCAGACCCACCATCATGCAGAGGATGATATCCAGATCATTGGTGAACGTCGCCCCATGTACCACCACCCTCACATTCCAAGTGCAATGCATGCTAGTCATCCCGTGCCACCACTCAATCCTTCACCGCCAGTGATCCTGCAGGAGCCGACAGTGCACCCAACACCACAGGAGTTCTACGTGAGTAGAGAATTTGATGTTTTGGATAGCATATGAAATTCACAACCCGTACATAGGCCAAATACTCAAATGATCAAACATTTAACCTACATACATTATAGCAGTACTTAACATCCTTGCATGCAGTTATAAAAATCAAATCGTAAACAAATATGATTTTGGAAAATATTTATTTTATTGTTTTTGTATATTTTGATTCATTGCCAAGTTGCTCGTGTGTTGGGTATGAAATGTGTAATTTTATCAAATGTTAATTAAAAGTTTTTACTTACTATTCAGGGTCCTTTCTCAAGGTATCAGAACAGACGAACAACTCACAGAAACAGATGGCGCTCTATTCCGCCTCCACCTCCACCATACCCAGGCTTTCTACTACATTTCTTGTAAGTGACAACAGCTATTATAACATCTGCTGGATATAAAGCATATTAAATGATAGCATGGATTTTACGCTTGCAAATCATTGCTTTCCAAATTTTGAAAACACTTAGTAAGTGTTAATACCATACCCATTTGTTTTGGCATTTAACATAAGTGATAAATATTTTGAGATGATACAAAGTGCAAATAAATAATCATTGATGTTTGTGAACATGCAAAAAGATTTGCAATTTTTGGATTGTTAAGAAACAAATATGATAATTTTTATCCACTTACCTTAGCAGGGCCATGCTAGGCAACCCTCCATACCCCCCACACATGGTAGACATCAATGATGACACTGCTGAAGTGGAAAACTATGAAGTGAGTTGTATAAGATCTTTGGAAGATCTTTGTTGGTACCCTAGACGCCAGACGGCGTAAAAGGAATTGATGATGATGAGTTGTATTAGATTATCAAAAGCTTAAATTTATATTGGATAATGAGAATCCATAGATTAATGTCTTCTATATATATGTAATTGTATGAATAAGAGATTAACTTGAAGTATGTTACTTTGTAAAAATATGAGTCTGACATTAGTAGAGAATTAAGAAATACGAGAGTGATTTGTTTGGGAATAGTATGTATCATTCCATCATATTTATTAGTGCTGCATAGTATTTGTTTGTTTGGTAACCAGAACTGTGCTGTTTTAACATAATTACTCATTTACTTCAGGCCTTACTCAATCTAGCAGAACGGCTTGGAGAGGCCAAACCACGGGGTCTAACTAAAGCAGACATAGATCAGCTGCCATCTTACCGCTTTAACGTGGACACAAGGACAGACGAGGACCAGACCTCCTGTGTGGTGTGCATGTGTGACTTTGAGCAGAAACAACAACTGCGTGTGCTGCCTTGCAGTCATGAATTCCATATCAAGTGTGTAGATAAGTGGTTGAAGGTAAGGCATGTCATTCCTGTGATGCTATTTCAAATTCTCTATGCTATATTTGTGTGGAGGCACATATATTTCTTACATTGCATTTACTTGCTGGCGCAGCCTATAATTGTTGACTTGTAATCTTTAACTAAGGTTTGCCAGCGGTTTATGTTAATAGCAGTTAATGATGAATGCTATTTTTGAATATCTGCAAAGGGCAAGCTGATTTGATGAATAATTTCAGCTTGGTAAGCAAGGTTTTGCTGTCTATTTCAGAGCAACCGCACTTGCCCTATCTGCAGAGCAGACTCCTCAGGCAGTGCTCACGCTGAATAAAGTGTCCAGTTCATTGTCAGCAGTGAAGGAAGATAAATCAAGAGGGATCAATAGTTTTAAGAAAAATGACCAGAATCACTTTGTGTCACTGGGGGAATTGATGAATTTTGTTTTCATTTTAATCACATAACTATAAAAACAATTATAAAAAAATGTAACATGGTTTTCATGGCTTGTAGCATATGTATATAGAACAAAGTCAATGATTTACACAGTGTGATCTATTGAGATTTTTTTCATCCCATATATATATATATATATATATATATTGTCATTATATTGTTAGGTGAAAAGAAAAATGTCACCTGTTAGTCTGCTTAACTGTGACTGGTCTTAAGTTCCTTACTAAAACCTGTAGAGCAGCAGAGGTTCTTTACAGACCAAGAAGAAAGTAAAGGCATAGTAATGATTATGGACATTTTTCTTGTACATCTACATATTTCACAGAAAAAATCCTTCCCTATCACTTTGTTATGTATAAAACATTAATAGTAATTGATATATGGGTCAAAGAACCCTCGATTTTCATTATATGGTGATCATCTGCTCTTTTTGCAAGTGGTTTGTTTTTCATTGAAGAAAGACATCTTTTGAATCACTTGTTATGCCTTCAACCATCTCTTTGTGTGTTTTTTCTTGCAGTTTTTTTTTTTTTTTTTCTTTTTGATAACTGATTCACCAGTAAATAAATCTTTAAAAATTATTGTATTTTTTTGTATGTATGATTATTTGCTTGCAATTTTTTATTTAATTTTATTTTTTTTTAGTGATAGCCAAAAAGGCGATATTTGATGTTGTTGTTAATATCCTCATGATTACCAAAACAATAACAAAAGTAGTACAGTGCAAAATAATTATTTATCTAATAACAACTATCCTGGGTGCTATTAATTTTGATCGAATTTATACTCATTAGATTAGCTCATTCAAAGAAATGGAACGTTTTACTTCAAAACTGAACAATTCCCTAAATCAACTTGACTGTTGAAAATCTCTTTAGTGCCATAGGAAAATTAGTCTAATGTATTATTTTGCTGGGATGCATTTATAAAAAATAAAGATGAAGGTATTCATATAATTAATTCTAGGTATAGATACAGCATTATATCATCAACCAAATAAGTAACCTGCTGTTTTATTTGTTGTGCATATAGGATTTGACATCACTATTTTTGTAAATATTGCAAAGATAGAAATAGTATACATTAACATCATCTACCTCGCATGATGCCTGTTCTGCAAACTTGACCAAGCACTGGACAAACAGGAGGTTGCAATCCAAACACACTGCTTCAAGCTGGAGGAGTATATACGTTTTCAGCAAGTGTTGCACAGTTCTGTATGCACCGAGACTGTGACGTTTTAAATTAGAAAAATGACATGCTCTTTTGGCATGATCTCAGTTACCTATAAATATACCTCTGTGCACTGCAAGGGAGGATAGTTGGAGAATTGCCTGGTAATATTTAAGATTAAAGAGTGCCATTTAAGAGGTGGTAGCATGCAGGCCACAATATTAATGTTCTTGGCAATTTTGAGGTCGTACCTGGCTCCAGCGTTTGGTGATGTTTGCGAGAATATCCCTGCCAAGCCAATGCACATTTCTTCCCAAGCCTTTTCTGTATAATATTTACTTAACATATTTAACCCTTGGGTTCTGAAGAAGGGGGAATATATATATATACATGAAGAATATGGTGATGTGTGCTACAATATTGCCTTGCTACAAATGCCTCACAGAGTTGGGCAATCTATATACATATATATATATATATATTGGATATTCAGGACTGTACCATGCAGTAAGGCACAGGAAAGAATATCTTATGCATAACTTATCCAAAGATTTCAATTAAATGTCATTTATAACAAAACATTTATATATTGATTATTGAGATGTTTAGTGTTTAAAGTGTGTTGTCTTTTGGCATTAAATAAAAGAAATGTTCGGTTACTTGGGTTTTCTTGGATGTGGAGTATTTGAAAGTGGAGATTGAAAGAATTATTATCACAGTTTCAGTTCACAGCTATATGTGTGATTGCATTCATAAGCATATAATAAATTAATGTCTAATTACTGACCTTGGTCTTTGTGTTAACACCATGGGTTGAAGTGATTTTTGTCTTGTTTGACGTAGCTGTAATAGATTAATAAATAATGCTTTGACAGACTGGAACAAGCTGCCAAGAGATATATTTGTTCTGGGTTAGTTCTGTACTGGAATGCTTTCCATATATACATGAGGTATCTAGGCACTGCTAAGCAGTGTATTTTACATACTCCTAGATGTGTAATCCTATATACTTAAAGCAGGTGAATTTTACATTTGTTAAGCATTTTCAAATTTGTAACATGGAGTGTTGAGCAACAAGTAGATGAAAAGATGTTGACCCCTGTTCTTTAACATTTCTGACAGCCATCTAGAAATGTGTTGAAAACCATTGTTACAAGATTGAAAAGAGCACAATTAAGCAAAATTTACCCATTTAATGGTAATGAAATGATATTGTGGCTAACCTGCTAGGCTGATTTATGCTGTGCTAATACATGGGGTGTTGTTGTTGACAGATTGTGCAAGTGAGAAATTCAATAAACAACTTTGCAATAATATACAGCATTGTCACTGTTATTTAGTCATATGGCCATGTATCCTTAACACGACTCCTAGTTTATAAAGAAAACCTCAGTTTATAAAGAAATAAGCAATAATCTTGGAACGAAAATTAAATTTTCCAGGTGCCTTCAGAATTAAATATAAAATTGAATTCTGTGATTCCATTGAAAAAGCTTGTCTGTAATTAATTCCCACATGTAGTAACTGATGACCAGAAGTTAATCAACTTGATTTTAAAACTTGAAAGTCTTAAAATAAAAAGACCAGTAAATGAGCAAGTTGATCTCAGTAAAAAATAAGATTGTACCCACTTAACACAATCATACCCTGTCTGGTAATTGACAAGTCTAGAATGAAAAGCAGCACATCTTTGAGTCAGTTTCATCAAGTTTAACTGCAAAACATACCTAGATGGTAAAATTTAACCAAAAAATCCTCTTAATGTAATAATGGGGTAATAGTAACAAGAGGGCGACATGAGAACAATTTTAACATTATGTTCTCAAAGTACGCAGTTGTTCAAATTATCAGTTCCACACTGAATGGTAGCAAAATTATACCTTGTTTGACACCATCTCAACTCGTTTTGAACCTCAATGATCTTGGAAGACTGAATTATGCACAATTTTATCTGGCAGTTGCCAGTAGTATACACATTTGTGTCTAACTATTTTGGTAATGTACATGCTTTATATAAAAAGTCAGTGTTTTGAAGACAAATTTTATTATAAAACTGAAATTTACATGGCATAACCTGTATGTCAAGTAGACTATGCATGTTTAAATTGCTTTTTTCACCTATAAAACACTTGCTTATCAAATGTATACCATTAGGAAAAAAATCATTGTGTACAATGTTTTAGTCTCTAAAATTCTAAAACTATAAGAAGCTAAGACCTACTTCCCACAGGCTCTTCTTTTTACAACCAAGTGGAGCCTGACCTTTCTGAGCCGCTGCTCAAATATGGCATGACCCATTTGAAAGCATGCAGTAAAATCCCTGCAGGAACAGTGCTGTGGGAAGCAGGGAAACCATTAAGGGGTTACATGGCATGCTTTCCAGTGCATCCCACAGCACAAGTTGGTTGTGAACAGAGCCATAGACACCATTGGTTTACTTAGAATGATCCAACTCTTGCCTAGTGCAATCAGCTTAACTGATTGACACACCTCCTCATTTCCAAGGTGCTCATATAATCACCAACTTGTCTATATTCAACTTGTGTAAATCTGTTATACTGATTGCACTCAGCAATTATAATGGGGTCTATGGAAATGGGGCCTAAGAAACTGACCAATGAAGTCTTTTAAAAATGTCATCATTTCAAGTTTAATGTGTTATATACCACTTAACATATTGATGATTGTCACCACTGTTACAAAGTGTTCTTTTTTCCTTCGCAACGGTGTTACACATGAAATCATGGAAGTGCCTAACATGTTATTACTCACTTCTTTAAACCAAGTTACATATCTCAAATCATTATTTTACTTCTCTTATTAAATTATTTACCACACAACACCGGTCTTCCAATTAAATGGTACAGAAATAAATTACGCAGGAGAACTTAAACACTGTACATGTGAGGGCATGTATCGCAAATCCAGGGATAGCCTGGATTTGCGATGCATGCCCTTTTTCTCATGTATCACGAATCCAGGCTATCCCCTTTATAAGTAATGAATTCTCAGCCCAATAGGCAATTTTGGGTGAAACATAGTAAAATAAAAAGCTGGAATCCAATTACTTATCAACAAAAATCTTTTTTTTTTTTTTTTTTTTGACATAAAGTCTCATTCTTAAAAATCTAAAAAAACAAAGTCTCTATCTCTTAAACTAAAATTTATGATGTATTTGTATATATAATTTACCAAATGAAATGAGGTAATTACCTACATCACCACAATTTAACTGAAAGTAAGTGCTAACATTCTAAAAATCAATTTCCCTATTGATCATTCACTTAATATTAAATACAAACATAAAATAGCTATTTGAAAAAACTAGGTATAAACTTCAATGTACTTAAAAGAAGCATGCAAAATAAAAAGCTCAGGTAAAAAACTTCTTTAAAGGAAAAATCTGACAACTTCTCAGAACTTATAACAGGTGATATTTTCAAATATATATTCTAAAGCTCCAGGAAATCCTCATCTTCCTCTGCCAAGCAGGCATCCAAATCGAAACCAGCAAAAAATCCTTCATCTTTAGCTGGTCCAGTTTGATGCTTCTGAGGACTGGAGGTGAACTTCATATGCTTTATATTAATGTCTGTTTTGTCCGATTCCAGGCAGGGAGGGGGTGTGAATGGCGGGGAGGCTGTGGTCACAGATTCTATTTCCATAGCAGTAGTGGACAATTCCAGAGACCCCTCTGATCCACAATCATTAAAAATGTGATCACTGAAATATGAGAATTTTTACTGTCATACAATAGACACTTGGAATGGAGGAAAAAACATTAGTTTTATATGGTGGATTTCAAATTGTTTTGCAACACTCAGTTAACACAGAACTTAATTCTGTTGCATAAAATATGCTTACTTATTAGTAATACACTACTTATTTAAACAATACACCTACTAAATATAAATACAGCACACGAATCTGAATGTAA